AATACTTCAACAAACTAAATGGAAATGAAAAATAATATATATATTGAATTTATAAATGTGTATGTATATATATATATATGTACGTGTGTATGGTTGTACATACACATATATGTAGTTGTTTATTTTTGGTGTTTGGCTTAGTGTTATGTTAGAATCATTATACTCTTATACCTTTTGTTCTTTAATATTTTGAATTGTTTTGAGCTTTATTTTTTGTTTTTCATTTCAATGTTATGTCTTGACATTTTTGTTGTATGCATTTGTCATTTTTATTTAATCTCTTTATTTAAAAAAATGTGTATAGGTAGTATTTATAAAGTTTTAGCTTTTAGTTTTGGATCTGTTTTTAGTTGTTTTAATACTACAATTGATTGCTTCTGTTGTCCTCATTTGTAAGTCGCTTTGGATAAAAGCGTCTGATAAATGACTAAATAAAAAAAAAATATATATATATACACACACACACACAGTATATATCTTCAGCATTTTTATTACATTTTTCCTCTTTTTTTTTGTTGAAAGTGTTACACCACTTGGGACTTTTTTCAAATACAGGAATTGTATACATTTTTACATTTATTAATGTACTCATTGTATGAATAAATAATATATTAAATATTTTCTAATAATAGATTCAGATCAAAAATAAAAATAACAAAATAAAATCCTTACAGAACTCACCATAGATTTTAAATTCATTCGCTTGGCGTTGGTCTTTCTCTCTTAGTTCTTTAACTTGGTGGTCGAGAGCATCTTTGTCAACCTGACCAAGAGAGAAATCACCAAATTAACTTGCAGATGTTGTTTACAGCTGTATAAAATATAAAATGGTGTATAAAATGTATTCCACCAAACAAACGTACTCCAATAGTGCGGACATTATCATCGAAGATCCTCTCCCGGCGTTGCAGCTCCCTGTTTCTCCTTCCGTCGAGTTGAACAGCTGAAACTCGGTCTGACAGAAGCTCAACTTGATTCATTGTGTATCGCCACTTTAAATCGATTTAGCGAGTTGTTTTAATCGACTTACTGGTGGTCACAAAACGAGGGAAACCCGTAAACAAACACGTTGCTAAGAGACTGAAGATACACGTTTGAAAATTGCGCCCTCTCGCTGTTGTTTTTCATGCTACAGAATGGCTGAAATAAAATACACCACGATACGATACGTATATAGGTAATTAAACACTTTTCAAAACTTCTGCTTTGATCCCGTTTTTTTTTTTTTGTTAATGCATGTCCATAAAAACCTTTGCGTGCTAAATTCCACTGATAAGGGAATCCATATGATAATGTGCTTTATTGACGCTGCAACGTTTAGACTAGTACATTTTTTAAATGGTTATTTATCTTACATTTGTAATTTGTTATGCTGTTCACCAACACCAATGTAATTTTACTGTAATAGTTTTATCAGTGTTTGAGCAGCATTTTGAAATGTTAGGCCTACCAGTAGTTCAGCATTGAAATGATACTGATTACTTCTGTCACAGGACACAGACCTCACAGTAACATTATAACACTCAAAAGACAAGTTTCAATGTAATTACCCCTGTCACCTGTGTCAGGTTAAACCGCAGTTGACTTCACAATCAAATGTATATGTGACCCTGGACCACAAAGCCAGTCATAAGTAGCACGGGTAGATTTGTCGCCAACAATGCATTGTATGGGTCAAAATTATCGATTTTTTTATGGCAAAAATCATTAGGATATTAAGTAAAGATCATGTTCCATGACGATAAGTTGTGAATTTCCTACTGTAAATATATCAAAACTTAATTTTTGATTAGTAATATGCATTGCTAAGAACTTCATTTGGACGACTTTAAAGGTGATTTTCTCAGATTCCAGATTTTCAAATAGTTGTATCTCAGCCATACAGCAATGGAAAGCTTTCAGATGATGTATAAATCTCAATTTCACAAAATTGACCCTAATGACTGGTTTTGTGGTCCAGTGTCACATATTTCCATTCACATACTTCTATACACATACTATTTTGAGGTTTTACAGCTACTTCCTTTACTATATTTTCACTTCTGTGAACTTTCCTTTTAAAAGTCTTTGATAACATGTTGTATTGTCCATTTTTGTCCTGTGCATGTTTGCAAAATAAGATGATAGTAGGAATCCTCTCCTTGTCCGATCTCAAGACAACGATTTGTGTTTCTGTTCCTTACTGCATTTCCCTAAAAATGAAACAGAAACCAGAAAATAAATTTTCTCTGATTATAACAGTACAGAATAACCACACATTTAGCAATGCCAAGCAATGTGCTGTGAAATACAGCAGGACTGTACTGAGAAAAGTCCCAGTATATACTCAATCCTTTCTCCTTGGCATTTTTACAGTCATGCAATGCTGGCGTATTTCCACTACCAGGATCCATTAGACAGCGGTTAGAGTTATACGTGTGGGATTTGATGCATCCAATGTAGACCTCTCCATTACGGTTGTAATAACAATGCTGTGAGAGACAGTCAAATGAAGAGTGCTTTTTGGACGTGGTTACTCGTCCAAAGGTAAAGTAAAGGTTTACACTCACATACAGTACCTGAGGGTCATAGTAATGACATTCATACAGAATAGGGACACTTCCAGGAACTTCACCTTGATCAACACAGTATCTTTCCTGGATGTCATTCTTCAGCTGCCATGAGAAATAAACAGCGGCAGTTTAGGGATAAATAGTTTAGATGGACCAGCTATCTAATAAACTTTCTTTATATCTATTTTGGAGGGGAATTGTATCAGAAGACTTTGAGCAACTATTAAATAATATCTTACCGCGCCATAACCAATGATGTCTTCCCAGCTGTCTAGGAGAGGATATACATTTTCCAGATACCATTTGAAGGGCTTACATTTGAGTTTCTCTCGTAACTTTTTTCTTTCAGTCACATCACCAATATCAATCCCATGATTCTAAAGAAAAAACAGTTAATTTATCAACCAGGTCCAGGCTGATATGAGAATCAGTTAAATTAGTTATAAACAAGCCTGTTAATATTCAGCTTCAGCTTGAGCTAACCTTAAGACAATGTTTACTATTCCTCTTACCTTAAGGGGGAGATTCCAGGCAATATTCACATTTGATTTGTATTCATCCAGCCAGATTTCAGCCACTCTCAGGGCATTTCGAATCATGGGTTTGCTGAGATCTGGTGAATATGGCTTATGTTCTCGTTCAATGTGTGCAATCTTTGAACATGGCACCACTTCAATACTCCCACCGCAGAGCCAGACTTGATTTATATATATAATATATATATATACAGTGGGTACGGAAAGTATTCAGACCCCCTTAAATTTTTCACTCTTTGTTATATTGCAGCCATTTGCTAAAATCATTTAAGTTAATTTGTTTTCCTCATTAATGTACACACAGCACCCCATATTGACAGAAAAACACAGAATTGTTGACATTTTTGCAGATTTATTAAAAAAGAAAAACTGAAATATCACATGGTCCTAAGTATTCAGACCCTTTGCTGTGACACTCATATATTTAACTCAGGTGCTGTCCATTTCTTCTGATCATCCTTGAGATGGTTCTACACCTTCATTTGAGTCCAGCTGTGTTTGATTATACTGATTGGACTTGATTAGGAAAGCCACACACCTGTGGCTGCAATATAACAAAGAGTGAAAAATTTAAGGGGGTCTGAATACTTTCCGTACCCACTGTATATAATAGTGTGTGTGAAATACTTATCAAATTCAAGCACTTTCACATATATTATATTGTATGCATTCTTTTGGAGCCACAATGTGTATTACTGACTTACACGTATTGCAAGTTCAACATTTTCACCACCATAAATTGTCATTCCTTCATCCAAAACTCCCATTTCTCCCAGGAATTGACGATCAGCGACAAGAATACCCATGATTGAGGGACTCCTAACAACGCAGAAAAATGAAACTACTTATACGTTCTACATCCATCAAATCATAAACTGCAAACTGTAGCTTATATACTGTATATACGAAATAAAGTATGGTAATAGTTTACACATTATGCAGCAGTTACAGTAATCCCGTTCCCAGTATGATGACAAAAATGACTCATTATGAGCAAGTTAAATTGTTGAGGAACAAAAAATCAACCGTTGTAATAAATGTTGCATTGTTCACTCAACCAATTCATTAAAAACACAGATTCATTTAGGAATGAAATAAGCAACTGTCTTAATAAACAGTGTATTGTTCACTTAAACGATTAGTTCAAAAACACAGATTCAGTAATGAAATAAGCAACCATTTTTAAATGCTGCATGGTTCGCTTAACTGATTCATTCTAAAAACACTGATTCATTCAGGAATCAAATAAGCAACCATCTTTATAAATGTTGCATTGTCCACTCATGTTGCGTTGTTTGCTCAACCGATTTGTAAAAAACAAAAAAAACAAACATATATTATTTAGAAAGTAAATAAGCAACTGTCTTCATAAATGTTGAATTATTCGCTCAACCACTTTGTTAAAAAAAATACTGATTCATTTATTAACAGCATTGTGTTGGCCGGAGACTTGTTAAGGTTGATTGTGTTTTGACTTGGTTTCGAATTATTTTTCTGTATGAGTCACATTCTAGGGGCATTTAAAATGAACAATAGCAAGGGAAGGTGATTAACAATAGTGGAAAAAGTTGGACCACTTACTTCCCTGGTACTGATGGGTCGTTGTTTTTGTACCATTCTGGCCGGAAGGACTCGTACATGCACCAGAGGTTCCAGTCGAATGCATGAGCAGATGGAATATACTCAGTAACCTCCAGTGTATCAAAAAGCACATTGTCAAACACTGGTGACAGCACTACTGTCCTGTCTGCTTTGATTCTTGCAAGTAGTGGCTCTGCCCTAGAACAATACGACAGTCAAATGTATACTTAGCAAAGATATCAAGTCCCTCTAATTACTAAGCCTGGGCTAATATTTACCATTCCATATGAACTTCAATGTGCGCATCAAGAATGGCTATCACCTGACCTGTGGCCGCTTCCCAGCCTGAGATTCTTGCCTTGGCAAGCCCCATCTGCCTTTTGTGTCTCACTTTCTTGATTAAACCAGGTTTGTCTTTATTAATTAGATCAATATATTCATCTAGAGCCAATTGCAGATCCTCTGTCGAGAAATGAAAAATATGTAATAGAATAAATTGTTATATTAAAACGATTCATATTTAGAGTACGAGTCTTTCTATATTTTCCATTAATTCTGTTTATTTTTCTTTATAAATATCAGATTTATGCTTGACAAATAAATAACTGTTTAGAAAACAGCCTAATATTAGAAAAAAAAAACATATCAAATCATTAAAATATCACAAATATTAAGGGTAAAACTAACCATTGGAGCTGTAGTCGTCTACCAGGATGATCTCCTTTAGCAGATGAGAAGGAGTTTTGTCAATGATGCTGCGGATTGCCCTTTTAATGACTGACAGAGCCTCATTAAAGTAGATCAGAATCACACTAATGGTTGGCAGGTCCTTAGGGTAGATCGTCACAGTACATCTGCATATATATATATATATTTATATATATTGTATATGCCTACATACATGGCCTTATGGGGGTTGGTGTTAAAGAATTGTGTTATAATAACCCCTACAAATACAACTCATTATATACACTATAAACACTTTAAAGGAGACAGACATGTAGATGTTTGTGAAAGATGTTTTGGAGGGATAATTATTTTTAAATCATACCCTATTTTTTACATAAAAATTTGTTAATACTTTACTATATCTAAGGGTGGATAATTTTATCAGTTGTTTATTGCAACAATACATAACTACAATAACTTTGCTCTTATGAGAGTTTATAGCATGATTTGTGAAAATTTAACTATACTGAATGACATGGCAATGATGGCATAGACTTCTTCATGGCTAGTTTTTGCTTATCTCATTTCATTCTGTAACCTACTTGTTCTACAGATCTGTGTGTACTAGTGGTAAATGCTACTGTTTTTGACAGCGTTGATTAACGTTTATGACAGATAATATCATGATCATTTTTGCGTTTGCCTTGTCGTATC